AAAGGACGTTGAGGTGACTGAAATCCTATTTACTCACCTCCCTAAGGTTTACTATAATTATGCCTTTGGGTCTTCGTGAGTCTTCTAAGTAGTTCAGCAGTCTGCATTCTTCCTGATACACGTGCGTGCACTCAGTGTCTGCTCTGGTAGTTTAGTGAGCAGCTAACAACAGGACAGAGAGTTCCCTACCTGGAACCAGTAAGTCTCCCCACATGTGCACAGGGCTCTGAGTGCATGTAGAGATACTCAGTCAGATGTGATGGCACTGCCTTTGGCTTGTCTGCTTTCACAGAGCCTCAGGGCAACTTGAGATGAGTGCTTAGGATGCTCCAGGGCGTGCAAAGCCCTGCGTATGTGCGTGACCATCTGACCCTTGGGAACAACAGAGCTTCCCCCAGCCCCCTGGCTGTCTCATTTCCCAGCTTTCCTTTAACATTCTTAGTCTATTGCTCGTTCCACAGGCTACCCACTGGTTCAAGCAGCCATGGCTAATCAATTCTCTGAAGATGTTCCAGCACACGCTACAGAGGAAAAGCTCTGTCCCACCTGACAAGCTCCCATCACCGTAGAGTAAGAGTACTCTTACAGGTGACATCTAGGGAATCAAGTGACAAGGATCTGGAAATGAGGGCCTGGGAAAGTCCAGCTTGTCCTGTCCCTCTGTGTGGCTCCCACACAGTTGCTGGTTCAGTCTTGTGTCCTGCAGTGGAGATGGCAGCAGGCAGATCATTATACTCCAGGGCCCACTGTTCTGCTGGACCCATCTCTCTTAAACAGCCTTTGGATTGCTGCGTACTTTAGTAACTGCTGAATTCTGGAAAAAGCAGATTCTAAAATTATGGAGAATTTTCTCTTTGTTTTTATGCAGTATGGAGAATTTTCAGATGTCTTTCACCCACTATTTTGCTGGTCTTGACCTAAATATATAAAGTCCCTTTTCTCTTAACAAAGTGAATTTGTTGAAACAATGAAGATTCTACCATACCATCTACATTTCTGAGCATTCACATAATTTAAGTTCAATTATTCTATAAATAACAATTATTCCATAAGCATGTGATCAAACCAGATATAATACACATTTTAGACAATGACCATGCTCTAAGTAAATGTACACACACACACACACACACACACACACACACACACACACACCCTTAGAACAGTATGAAAAACAAAACCTGATATTCTTTAACACAGATAGAAAGGTTAACCCTGTCTATACTGTAGGGTGACAAAACCAAAAAACCCAACCTGAACTTAGGAACCCTTGTGTCTTAATTACAAGCAGAAGTGATCTCCAAAGGCTCCACCCTCTGCCCCGCCTCCGCTCAGGCTGCCAGCACTTTGAGTCTCTCAAGTACAAAGGACCATGCAGTCATGCTTCAAAGATCATCTTAGACTGTGAAACACTGTCTTTTCCTGAGGATGACAGTCGCTGGGCTATGCTCAGTCTCTTTCCTACAGACACCCACATCACTTAGATCTACTAGTTGATGTCAGTCACTGGGAGGTACTTCCTGGATAGGGACAGTCAGACTTGGGTTTTGTAAAATCCTCTCTGATTAAAGAACAGGCAAGATGCTCCGAGTTCCTGGAGAAATGCAGCGGAGGTTAACTGGACAAACAGGGAAGATGGAAATCACTAGGAATAAAAATATTATGCTGGCCCAGTGATCTATAAAGCTACACAAACACAAAGCGAGTGTGTTATGTCTCAGTACCTAGTCTCAGGAGGCTGCATGGTGCTCGTCCACTACAATCCACGCTCATCACTTTAAGGATGTTTTGGTTTCCATTAAAGCATTTGTCACATTTGAACTTTCTAGGGTCAAAATAAGGTCTGAGTTTTCAACTTCAGAAACTTAATTTTACTACTAACCTTCAAGCTGGCTTGGAAAGCCCCCGAAGACTGTGCAGTACTCATATATTTTAAAGGAAAGTACACGTGGAGTCTGAAAGGTGGTGTTGACGGCTTTTTTCTTAGACCGTATTTTAGTTCATAATACTCAGTGTGAGACAATGTGAAATGGGTGTTAAAACAGTGAGTTGTGTGTGAAGGCTCTAGTGAGTGCTCAGGGCAACGACCAAAAGATGTTTCTAAAAGAGAACCAAACAGCAAGCGCAGTTCACTGCTCTGCTCCTCCCGTCAGAGTGGGCTGCCATCGGGGCTCCTCCAGTCAGAGCGGGCTGGGGCTCCTCCCGTCAGAGTGGCTGCCATCGGGGCTCCTCCTGTTCTTCAAACAAGGGCGTTGACAAAGCTGCAACTGTCAGTGCCTCACTGTGGATGAGGAGAGGCCAGCCAGGCCCTCTCCCAGGAGCACTCTGGTCTAAGGCTGTCCCTGGAGGAGGTTCACTGTCTACCACTGACGAGTTACCCTTGTTCCAGTGAACGACCTCCCACTCCCACTCAGGCAAGGAACCAATCACACAGCAGGAGGCCACGCACAAAAGACAGGAAACAGAAGGGGGACCTGGTGAAAAGAAGGGCTCCATCACAGAGGGGAAGTGGGGTGCCAACTAAGAGTCACTACATAAACATGAAACTAACTGTCAAGCAGCAAAAAATTAAAAATATGCAATATGTATGTATATATATGCACATATATGTGCAAGTGAAAAGGTATCTTCAGTGTATATATGTGTGCGTACATGTGTATACACACATACATATATACATGTATATGTGTGTGTGCACGTGTATACGCACATACATATATACATGTATATATGCACACATACACATATATGTGAGTACACACACACACACACACACACATACATTGAAGATGTAACATTTTCACTTGCACAATGTTAGATAATCAGGATTTTTGATATGGTGACAATTCTACTGAAGAACACCAGTGAGGCATCAACTAAAAAGGAGGCCTTGGTTCTATTATTCAGCATAGAAAAGAGCTGTCCTCAAGGCTATCCTCGCTTTGAACTCAGCACTAATCAACCACACATGAGCTGAAGATGAAAACGTACCTGAACAGATGACACTTTCCAAGCAGCTCACTCGTTTTATTATTGTTACTGTATGAAAGATCTGCCTACCTGATCAGGAAAAACAATGTACAAGGCTGGAGGTATAGCTCAGCGACGGGGTACTTACCTAGCATGTGCAGTGCTCAGGGTGGGATCCCCACGGAAGAAATGGAGGGAGAGTAGAAAAGACACAGAAAGAGTCTTCCTTTTCCTTTTTTTTCTAGAGCTTTGGACACAACCGGAGCACAGAGCATTGAGGCAGGTTTTCCCCAGTTCACAACAGTTTTTTATAATACCAGAAGGCTAACAATGACATCAGTGAGTCCAGCACAAAGTCTCCATGAGGAACAGCGCCAGGGAAACCACCTTCTAAGTACTCTGTCTCATCAATTAAGCCCAGATGCTGTACCCTGCCAAGGTTAAGACTGACAGCCTAGAGGCCGTCCGCCCCGCCCCACCCCGCCCCTCCCACTGCTGGTGTTCGATACACTGCAGTTCGTAACAGGTAGAGGGAAGGGGTCTGGAGTATAAACACCTTTGTAAAAGTCTAAATACGTTGAAACAAAAGTATTATCCCAAGGAGAATTCCTGAGTATCAGGGTGGCACATTTCATGGCTCCGCTGAAGACATGGGACAGCAAAGGGTGAATCAGAAAGATGTAGCCATGTGTTTACTATCATTCATGTGACAGGTAGCCGTTACTTAAGCCAAATACACACGTGAAGTTTCAGGTCACATTTTTCTCTCCAACTTATATACATGTAGGGGTTATACTGAAACTTCCATTATTCTAAAGGAAGAAAGAAGAGGCACATTTGATCCAGACCCTCAGTCCCTATTATACTCTAGGTCTTTGAAATGTTAAGGACGAACAGACCGAGTTGTGAAAGGGACAGGAGGAAGTAGACAGAGCGAGGAGACAGCTGGCAGGCACGGTCGTTCTCTGCCTCTGCCATTACTCGGAGAGTCTGCTTTTGGGGCAGCAGGTGGTGTGACTGCAAAGAGATCACACGTTTGTCAGTAACTATGGAGGATTTGTGGCTGTTAGAGCCCAGCATTACAGGTAGGCTGGCTAATAAAATGTCATCAACCACAGGTTGTGGAAATAGCTTATCCACCAAGCAAGCCATCCTGCTTCTCCTTTCAACCTTGTCTGCTATAAATTACACCACTAAGACACAGAACTCTTTCCCCACTAAAAGAACCTCCCCACAGCCACCAGCTGAGCATCTGGAAGCAAAGCAGCTGAAAATGCCATCCTTTGAAAGGAAGATGAAATCAGGGACTCCCCCACAAAGAGCATGTCTCTCTGCAAGGGAAAGCTTGTCGTGGGCTTTGCAGAAGTTGGAGGTGGAATATGGACCCGTTTACTTCTGTTTTACTAGTGAGAATCCAGTCAAAATGAAGATGATTTCATGTAGGGGTAAATACCACTAGGCCTCATCTGCAGCAGAAGATCAGGGGCCTCAAACCTCCCAATGATATATAAGAAAATCTTAGCAAAACCCCCTGACATTTCAAAACTTGTTTTCCTGTACTAGTTTAGAACAAGAGTGTATTTAATTAGTATCTACATTTTTTGTTTTTAAATCCCTTTCAAAAATGTCTTCATAGGTTGCAAAACTTAGAAATAAGGCAGGAACTTTCCAGAGGGCGTGTGCTCTGGAGCCTGCTGCGGCTCCGCAGGAGCCTAGCCGCGCCAGCCCGGGCGCCCTGCCCTACTAGGCAGGACTGCTGAGGCCATAGGGGCTGCTGAGACTCTAGAAACTGACAAGTTTCCAATGGAGAAGGCTTCGAGAATAATCACCAGGGGAATAATCCTCTGGGGAAAGACAGAAGGATCATCACCAAAGGTATGTTGGCCAACAGTTAATTTGGTTCTATTATCAAATTAAGAGTTCTTCAGGGAACTGCAACTCGCTTTAAATTAGATGTGGGGAAGCTCATCTGACTAAATAGTTTATGTATGAGACACACTCACATAAAAAGAAAAACACAGAAGACAAAATGTCCTTAATTTGGGGGAGGATATATTCCAACTTGAGGGCAGGGTGAAGGCCTTTTAGTTGTGAAGCCCAATCAGGACATTTCCAGAGAGTTCGGCATGCCTCCACACTGGACAGGACAGGGCAGGACGGGATGGAAGGGTCTGTTCCGTCCGGCTGGACTCTCCTGGCCCCACCACGCACGCTGGGCGACAGCAGGCCACTGCAGGGTTGAGCCGGCAGTGCTAAGGCTCTTGAGTGTTCATCAGCTCAGCAGGTCAAAAGTCTGCAGACACTGGGTGGAGCAGCAGTAAGCCACGAAGCCAACAGTTGTCCTCCTGGGGGATGGGGGGAGAGAGCACTGTTAGCTCAGGAGAAAAGCAGCGGTTCTTCCCCACTGGAGACAGCCTTGCTTTGTTAGAACAAGTGAGGCGGCATGAACAGCAGGCTGCCTTATAGAAACGTAGGATGTCAGATGCTGTTTTCAAGCCAAGCCCAGGCAGCAGCAGGTGAGGCATGTGTGTGCATGTGTTCTTCCTCCATTGGTGGGGTTTGGATGACACACCGTCCCTATAAACAGCTAAGGGAAGAGCTTTTCCATCTTTCAAAGCCAACAGGGCCATCAAAGAACTCGAACTACATTCTCAAAGTCGCAGCTCAGGGCAGCGTTTCACATCTATATTCCCAGGACCTGGACAGCTGAGGCAGGAGGACTGCTATGAGTTCTAGGGCAGCCTGGGCTACAGTTAGATCCTGTCTCAAAACAACAACATGAAAAGAAAATAAAAAGCACCACCAATTTAGCACAAAGCACACATACATACATACCGCAGCTTAAGTACTACCATTTGAAGGGTTTATCCTACTGATACATTAACTCGGTGTAACTTCAGAGTCTGCATATGTGACTCCAAGGCCTTACATAACAGAGAAGCTCTTCTCAAACTCTTGCTTGGGTACCTTTGCATGATGAGTCATGAGTTCCCTGGGGCTCCTCATGTGCTCTGGACAGTGCAGGCTCTTAGAGGCCTTCTCTTCCCACCCAGAGCCATCCTCTGGTCAGGGGAGAGTAGTCTCTTGCTTTCACAGGACAGCTATGCTGACTGTTCAGCACTTGACCCGAACTCTGCCGTTCTCTGTGGTCCTGGAAAGGAACTTCTACAGACTACTTTGTCATATGCACTCAAAGTGTCAGGCAGAAGGACAGTGGATGGCAAGGCTCTGGGAGAGTAAGTGCTTGGAACATTCAATAGTTATGGCACCAAGGTGAGTTCTAAGTCTGTGGGGTGAGATGGCCTTTTCTGACTGAAGAGAATTAAGACCAACCAACCAACCAAACACCTAACCAAAAACCAGATATGCTTAGTGTCTTCCAATCTCAGTTCAAGACACGGCAAGAGAATTTCTATGGTGACCCTAAAGGAATCATTTTCTCATGAGCTGAAGAACACGGCTGAAGCCCAATGCAGCAAATCACATGCCAGGTAAAGGTGTTCTGACTTCGTGTATGTGTAAGTGTGTATAGTGTGGGCGCCTGTTAGAATATGTATGGGATGCATATGTGTGCATAAATGTGTGGGGCCAGAGGCCGACACTCTACATCTCCCTTGATCTTTCCACCTTCTATACTGAGGCAGGGTTCCAATTCAGCTAGACTGGCTGCTCGGCTCCCTCGGGGATTCCATCTCTGACTCCTGGGGTCTTCTATGCCAACACAGCTTTCTGTGGGTGCTGAGGATTCCAGCTCCAGTTGTCACATCTGCGCATCATCTACTGCTCTACTCTGGGAAAAATGACTATGTGAAGTATCCTAAGGCAAAGTGAGGACAGGAACTTGAGGCTTTGGACAGAACCAATCTAAGAACCTGGAGCTTCTAGAGATTTCTTCATACTGGAAATGAATCAGTCCATCAGTGGACAGATTCTTCTAAGAAAATTAGTGTTCCTTCACATAAAAAGGTTTCAGCGGCTTCATGTAGGATGGCTGTCTGAAAAGGAAGTGCCGATCTATTTAGGCAAGAACTACCATCACCAATACTCAAGGCCTGTAGGGCCATAAAGAGTAAAATCCCAGCACCATCCAGAGATCGCCCCAAGAGTAGCTCTCGGGAGGTAACACACACACTAAAGGAGTCTTGCCGTATTGTCCCTGTGAGAAGCTGGAGAGCACACGAGACCTGGATTCTAAGCACGTGAGTCAAAGAAACCAAGCAGACGGTTGAATTTGGCCAACAAGGGCACTTTACCTAGGCTCTGTGTTCAGTGTGTTACCAGATAATCAGGGAATGGACTACAGATGCCTGGACTCAGTGAGATGATGAGACAAGAGGCTGGACGCCTCTTTAGACCTTAGAGGGAGTAAGGCTTAGTGTGATGGAACGTCACAGGGGCAAAGTGAGGACAGGAACTTGAGGCTTTGGACAGAACCAATCTAAGAACCTGGAGCTTCTAGAGATTTCTTCATACTGGAAATGAATCAGTCCATCAGTGGACAGATTCTTCTAAGAAAATTAGTGTTCCTTCACATAAAAAGGTTTCAGCGGCTTCATGTAGGATGGCTGTCTGAAAAGGAAGTGCCGATCTATTTAGGCAAGAACTACCATCACCAATACTCAAGGCCTGTAGGGCCATAAAGAGTAAAATCCCAGCACCATCCAGAGATCGCCCCAAGAGTAGCTCTCGGGAGGTAACACACACACTAAAGGAGTCTTGCCGTATTGTCCCTGTGAGAAGCTGGAGAGCACACGAGACCTGGATTCTAAGCACGTGAGTCAAAGAAACCAAGCAGACGGTTGAATTTGGCCAACAAGGGCACTTTACCTAGGCTCTGTGTTCAGTGTGTTACCAGATAATCAGGGAATGGACTACAGATGCCTGGACTCAGTGAGATGATGAGACAAGAGGCTGGACGCCTCTTTAGACCTTAGAGGGAGTAAGGCTTAGTGTGATGGAACGTCACAGGGAAGCCAGCAGGAGACAGAAAGAAAAGGAAGCAAAAGGATCAAAGTCACCTCTGAGATGAAGGTCTATTGTTCAAAGCCTTTATCAAGGCAGACAGAAATGGCACACAATTCTTCCGGAAACCAGAACTATCACTACAGATCTCACAGCTACTAAAAGCTGGAAGGGACACACCGACCATTTTGAATACAGAAACTTGTCAACCTGGAAGATCACTGTCTTGAAGATCACAAATGACCAAAACTCAGCTTGGCAAGAGGAGGTAGACAGCCCATGGAAACCTATGACCACGGACAAAGCTGGATTTGTGATTTAAAAGCTATTCCATTACCGGATAGGTTTTGTTTTGTTTTGTTTTTTTTTTTTTTGAGAATCCTAACTAACAGTTAAAGACAAATAAGAAGGCATTTTAGCCTGACAGTGGTGGCACACACCTTTAATCCCAGCATTTGAGAGGCAAAGGCAGGCAGATCTCTGTGAGTTTGAGGTCAGCCCTGGGCTACAGAGTGAGTTCCGAGAAAGGCTCCAAAGCTACACAAAGAAATCTGTGGTGGTATTGTGTTCCCCAAAATATTTTACACCCTAATAAACTTATCTGGGGCCAGAGACAGAACAGCCACTAGATACAAAGGCTAGAAAATGGTGGCACTCACACCTTTAATTCTAGCACTCCAGAGGTAGAAATCCCTCTGGATCTCTGTGAGTTCAAGGCCACACTGGAAACAGCCAGGCATGGTGACACACGCCTTTAATCCCAGAAATCGAGCCTTTAATCCCAGGGAGTGGTGGTAGAAAGCCGAAAGGTATAAAAGGCCTGAGGACCAGAAACTACAAGCATTTGGCTGGTTAAGCATTTGGCCTGGTTAAGCATTTTGGCTGGTTAAGCTTTTAGGCTTTTGAGCAGCAGTTCAGCTGAGAGCCATTGGGATGAGGACATAGACACTTCCAGTCTGAGGAAACAAGACCAGATGAGAAGTTGGCCAGGTGAGGTTAGCTGTGGCTTGTTCTGGTTCTCTGATCTTCCAGTTTACCCCAATACCTGGCTTAGGTTTGATTTTATTAATAAGACCTTCTAAGGTTCCCTCTATATCTGGTGCCCAACGTGGGGCAAGAGACAGACTTTTATCAGACTGTGATTGCTCCAAACCACAGAGGAGGCACACACACACACACACACACACACACACACACACACACACACACACACACACAAAGTCTGCAGGGAACCATGACCACACCTAACAGTGACTTTGAAATCTTAAAAAAGATGACAGGATCCTACAATGATGATTCCATATGGACTATGATAAAGTCATTAAGCTGACTAACACCACCAAAATATTGACTTTGGACTACAAACTACTCAGGACAATTTTGAGATGGCTAGCTGAGATGATCCAGCCTGACAGACTACTTGAACAAAGACTTGAGACAAGCCCTGCACTTTCTCAATATGCAGAGACTGAACAAATGATACAGGACTTGACAATTAACCCAAAAAATTTATTTTCAGGATTCCCTAAAGATATCTTCACCCCTAGAAAGCAAAAAGAAAAAGAGAATATAGATATGAGATAGATCATTGAATCTACTCTGAGAAAAAAGATAAAGAAATAATAGGATAAATGGGTAGATCATTGAATCTACACTAAAAAGAAAAAGGAGAAGATATAAAAATGACAAAAGGTAGATTACTGAATCTATTATGAAAAGAAAAAATACTTTTAAAAAGGAACTACTTGTTTTAAATAAGATAAGTAATGAAAATTTGTCTGAATTTGTCAAATGTTACTGGACTGGACATTGTTATATATTAATGGAGTTTTTTGTCTGAATCTGTCAAATGTTAATGGACTAGACATTGTTAATGTAATCTTGACTGTGTATATTGTATATACTTATTGGTTATAATTTTTCTTGTATTAGTTATAAGCTTTTTTTAATTTTAGACAAAAAAGGGGAAATGTGGTGGTATTGTTTTCCCCAAAATATTGTACACTCTAATAAAGTTATCTGGGGTCAGAGACAGAACAGCCACTAGATACAAATACCTGACTCAGGTTTGATTTTATTAATAAGACCTTCTAAGATTCCCTCTACATCAATCCTGTCTCAAAAAACCAAAAGAAGAAGAAGAAGGAGGAGGAGGAGGAGGCATTTTAACACAATTTCCTTTGCAGAAAAAGAAGAGTTCCCAACTCATGAGGACAGTATTATCTTGACTCACCAAATAAGGTGGCTGAATATTTGAATGTATCAATGTATCAACAAGCTAAATAAGGACTACCAAATGATCTTATCAATACTTACAAAAAGCATTTGAGGTGGGAGCAGTGGTTCATGTTTAGACTCCTAGAACTGGGAGGATAGGACAGGA